TTTCCCTATCTGGAGATGCTGCAGACAGTAGGTTCTGCTGGAAAGCAAAGCTGACGAATAGATATTTGGTTCATACTAGCTATTGCTTGTTTAGAGGGCTCAGCTAATATGTTAAGCTAGCTAGCTAGCCATGTCTTCACTTTGCAGTCCATGTCTCAGTGGCTCAGTTCCAGACTGATGATGACTGATGCCCACGCACAGGTCACTAGGATTAGGCTTTGATTTCCTTCCATTTCAGCAATTTATAGCTGACTGCATAAGTAGAGTCAGATACAAACCCACTGCCTGGATCATCACCTGCTTGTTCTTCTGAATCTGTGTCATTGTGGTATTTAAAAATAAAAACAATCAACACAGCCCTTCTAAGTAAGAGCAAGGAAAAGTAGCAAATATGAGAAGGACTCTTGATGTCCAAAGCAAAATATACAGACACAGGAGGCTGCGTGCTTTGTCTCTCTTCTGCATTAAATGGTTTCTGATGCTTCCTTCGCAAGGGCTTTGAATTTTAACTGTTTTTTCTTCGCTGATTCCGTAAGAACTGGGTCATCAAAAAGCTATTGGGATGGAAAAGTACATCCTTGGACCTGATTTACACCTTTGCCTGAGCTGGACCATGCATAAGGACTATGTGTATTTCTGGTGGGCTGTGTGCCCCTGTACACCCCTGGTCAGTGCCAAATAGCAGCCATTTGGCCTTTGGTTACACACTGCAGAAACCTGAACCCTGCCCTACTTTTGTACTGCGCTCCCAAAAGCTGCCCAGTGGACTACTGGCAATGGTTAGACAATAAAATACTCCAGCTACAACACCTTCCTTCCTAGGCAACAGGCCAAACCATGCAGTGGGAAAAGAAGAAGCATAAAACGGCCTATGGTGTTTGCATGTCTGGCAGGGAACTCCCCAAGGGCTTTGTCTACTGTATCCTGGGACCTTTTCTTCTATCTGAGTAACCACAAAAGCAGCCCGAGGCAGAGGAAAGGCTCCTGCAGTGATAATATTTCTCTGGCGATTTCCAGCGATTGCCCGTGTCCCCGGACTTCTTTTTCCTGGGCACTGATCACAGAGACCTTCCCTCACTGGTCCTGGGTATCTCACTGCTTTGGGCACTTCAGCTGCATTGCCAGCAGCATTCACCATAGTTAGGAAGATCTGGGACAATGCACTGCCTCCGTTCTGCCTGGGTGACACAGAAGCCCATCCAGTGGTCCCTGGAGCACAAACATCCATTTCTTACACCGGATGGATAAGGAGAGGGAGACTCTATAAGTGCTGTCATAGCCCAGCACAAGACATTTGCTCCAGAGATTCAGGAACTACTTTCCTGTTTGCTCATCCCAGTGTGGGAGAAGTGAGTCCTCTCCCATGCTCAAGCATTTGAGAATTGCCTGGGAGCCTCCTATTCCCTAAGGTACAACTTTCAACAGCTGCTGAGTGGCCTGGCAAATAAACAAGTACCTTCTGCAAAATATATCTGGACATCAGCCATATTAACCATGAGTGCTGCTCTCCCCTATGGATACAACAGCTGCCCATTGGAATAA